GCCATCTAGCTAAGAAGCAACAAAGCCCACATGGAAAAAACACACCAGCCTGTGCGATCACTAGGTGTCAAAGTGATCAGGTATCAAAGAACAAAAAATAATATCATTGTGAATGAGTGGGAGTGCACAGTGGAGACCCAAAGCCCATCTGTAGGCAACTGGACATCCCCTTACAGAAGGGTCGCAGGGAGGAGACAAGCCAGTCAGGGTTTAGTGTAGCAATGATGAAACATACAACGTTCCTCTAGGTCTTAAATGCTTTCTCCCCCCCACTATCATGATCCCAAGTCTGCCTTACAAATCTGGCTAGACCAGAGGATGTACACTATTACAGATAGGAACTGGAAACATTGGGAATCCAGTACAGATGAACCCTTCAGGACCAGTGCTGAGAGTGGTGATACCGGGAGGGTGGAAGGAAGGTAGGGTAGAAAGAGGGAACTGATTACAAGGATCTACATATAACCTCCTCTCTGGGAGACGGACAACAGAAAAGTGGATGAAGGGATACGTTGGAAAGTGTAAGATGTGACAAAATAATAATAATTTATAAATTATCAAGGGTTCATGAGGGAGAAGGGAGTGGGGAGAGGGGGAAATGAATAGCTGATGTCAATGGCTCACGTAGAAAACAAGTGTTTTGAGAATGATAATGGCAACATATGCTTGACACAATGGATGTATATATGGATTGTGATAAAAGTTGTAGGAGCCCCCAATAAAATGATTTTTAAAAAGATTTATAGCCTCAGAAACCCAGAGGAACAGTTCTAACCTGTTCTATAGGGTCACTATTAGTCAGTATCTACTCAATGACAGTGAGTTTGGTTTGGTGTGTGGGACTCATTGACCTGGGCACTCCAGCACTCAGCAGAGGACTCCTGGGGGGTATTAGGCCTCTGAGAAGACGATTGGTGAGGAAAGTGCAGCACAAGCCAGGCCTGGGTCTCAGCTATCAGGTGTGTATAGATAAAAGTCCCTAGGCCACCAACTGTGAGCTCTAGGGAAGTCTACAGAGTCCGTGGGCCAATGGACAGCCTCTACCCACTGTGTAAGTTCGGGTGGACTAGAGAAACAAATTCATAGACACTCATATGTGTATAAGAAAGAGCTTTACATGAAAGAGCAATTGAGATAGTTTATTGTGCCAGCCTGGCCGATAAACACAAGTGGGATTAACTGAAGGGCAGAGAGATAACTGGCTTGGTAAGTCTCGACTTTCTTGTCTCTCGCTCTGTGATCATCGGACCAGTGTGCGGCTGCCTTGCTTGTTCTGTGCCTCAATTTAAAGGCTACACTACCTGTGGGACGCCTAGCCTGTGGACTGTGTCGCTGTAAGTTGAGGTCCCTTTAAGAGATCACTGGAACTGGGGACTGGCAGTTGGTGACCTGGCTGGCAGTTGGTGACCTGCCTTCTGATTGGCTGCTGTGCTGACATAGCCTAGCTCTCGCTATAAATAGAGGAAGATCTGGCAGCAGACTGGACTGGAAGGACTGCTAGTCTCTCACAACTCTCTCACAGCAGTGAGTTGAATTGAGCCATTTGTAGTGCTTTATAATTTAACTGTTTCTTTCTTGTATTATATATTTATCTGTATACGATTTAACAGTTCATTTCTTGTTATATATTTAATTATCTTTATACATAAATAAATTGAATTATCAGCAATTTGGTTTTATCTCTCTAGAGAACCCTAACACAGCAATTGTATATTTAGAAAACATCCCAGCCCAGTCCAGATCAAGTCCATAGGCTGACATTAGCCCATATGTCTGATACTAGTCCATAAATTCCTCTTTAGACTCATGTAGCACATGCAATGATGCCCAATGCAGGAAAATCACAGGCCAGTGGGTAGAAGGTCTTGTGGATCCAGTGGAAGTGGAAGCATCTCAATGCTGGTGCGGGTCTCCATGTGCCTCCTCCGGCTCTCTGAGTGTCTCAACCGCAGGATAGAGAAGGCAGAGAGGGGGTTTGTGCCTCCAGGGAGCTATTTATCTCTGTTGCGCCCGAATGAGGCAATCAAACGGTGACCTGATTGACAAGTTAGACTCCAGTCCTTCACTCAAGTTGACAGATTATGTAAGTGCCGCACCACACCCCAAAGACGTTTTTTTTGTGTGTCTTTTGGTTTTTAGACCTGTTCCTGGGTTTAGGTCAGGTTGTTTCGAGAAACAAATCCAGTGACACTCATCTATGTAAAAGAAAGAATGTTATATCACGGAGTATTTTATTTCATGAGAGCACCCCAGCCCAGCCCCACTGAAGTCCGTACATTCAATGCTAGTCCATCTAGCCCTCTTGAGACTCATGCAGCCACACGCTGGCGATGCAGAATGACCGACCTGGATGTAGGAAGATCATAGGCCGCTGGGTGCAAACCGATCCAAGGTTGGTGGGAACAGGGCAGGGCTCTGGCAGCTTTCAGGGTTTGACCCAAATGGGGCCACCCCTTGAGGTCGGCAGAGTTCTTGCAGCAGGAAGGCAATGTTGCAGAGAGAGACAGAGAGAGACCCTGTTCATCTTGCTCTTATACAAGTCTTATGACGTCAAGGAGCTATTATCATCAGTCCATGACTTAATTGACAGGTTTGTCTAGGTTGTATCTACTTGACATCAGGAGTATCTAGTTGACATCAACTGGGGTTCTTGGGGGTTTTCTAACAGAAACTTGTGCTTTTGGTAAAAAAATAAGTAGGCTCTCATGTAGTACACTTTGCTTTTCATTTCTAATGATTCCTTTATGCTCAAAAGGTAGTTATTTAAATACCTCCTTAAAAGATCCAGAGTTTTTTTAATGGGCGAGCAGAACAAAGCATGGTGCATGGCATGCATTCGGTATCTTAAACACTAGAGCTGCTGGTGGTGGGGAAACAGGTGCCATTTCTTGGAATGAGCAGGTCAGATAGACCCAGAAACAAGTCAACATGGGAAGGCATCCAAATGTGTTGGCCAGTGATTTAAAACGGAGTCAGCAGAACCCTTTTATGTGGCGGTAAGTACTCAATTAAAAAAACCCCACTGAACTACGGAACGGTGTGATAGATGAATGGTATCACAATACAACGATCAGGGGGAGATCAAATGAAAATGGCGTCTGTGCTGGGAGATGAACTTCACAGGAGGGCGGTCTGGGAGCTGCTGGCTGCGATTGCCAAGTTTCACGACATCAGATAGGTGACCGTGAGGCATGTGTAGAATCAGCCGGGCAAATCCGTGGGCTCTCTGGACACAGCAGCTGCCGTGGGGTCTCTGGAAACAGCGGCGACTCAGTCTCTCCAAGAAGCTGGTCATTTGGGGCAGCGATTGCCTGGTTTCTTGGTCTCTGAGATGGGGAACTGCAGACCCCACCTTTTGTCTCCCTGGAAGTGCACTGGAGGACTCTCCTGAGCAGACACGATTCCACTGGAGAAGCCCTCTCAGTGTCTGCTCCAAGCCCTTCCCAGAGTGCTGCCCGCGTCCTCAGGGGTCGCGGCAAGGAGGGCCTGGGGGTCAGTGCTTGTGGACGGCTGCATACGTGGTGGACTCAGCTGTGGGCTGCCAAGGCCCAGCTTGAGCTGCCCCTCGAGTGAGGGCCTGCTGGTTCAGCTGAGCATAAGTCACATCCTGGGGGTGTCCTGCAGCAGGGGTCTGAGGGAGAGAGAGCAGGGTGAGTCAGCGGGACTGAGGGTGAGGAACAGGGAGCTTTAGGCACCAGATGTTGATACCTAACTTTCACGATGGTCCCCAGTGATCATATCACTGTGTGGTTCCTGCTCCTATGATATCAGAGTTGCTCTGGGTGACCCAGAAGGCAGCTGTGACTCAGTGGTCGCATTCTCATGTGCCACGCAGGACACCGATGAACACAAACATAGCCAGCTGTTGCGGAATGAATTCTGACTCATAGAAGTCCTTCAGGACAGACTAAAATGGCCCCAGAGGATTTCCTAGGCTCTGAGATGTACTGGGGGGAAATGTAAAGTCAGAAATCTCCTTAGAAGCAAGGATGGCAAAACTCCGTCTTACATACTTTGGACCCCTAGTCAGGAGAGAGCAGGCCCTGGAGAAGGACAGCCTTCTAGGTCAAGTGGAGGGGCAGTGAAAAGGAGGCAGGCCCTCACGGAGATGGCTTGACACAGCGGCTTCAGCAACGAGCTCAGGCGTGGGAACCATTGTGTGGATGGCGCAAAAAGGGGCTGTGTTCCATTCCGTTGTGCACAGGGTCGCTATGGATCAGAAGCAATTGGATGGCGCCTAACACCACCACCACCAAAAGGTGTTAAGTGAAATATGTGGGGGCCTGACTTTTGTGTTTTGACCGCTTATGGGAAAAGGATCTACAATAATGTGTCTCAGATGTTTGGTGAGTGCTTGCCCATGATGCTGTCGTCCGTAGACACGCTTATGAGTGTTCATCTTGGAAATACACAGTCCAGCCCCAGTCCAGCCTTCAGATGAACACGACCCTGGCCAATGTCTCAACAGCTACTTTATGAAAGACCATGAGTCAGAACTCCCAGCTTTCTGATCCCCGAAATGAACATGGTTTTGCTTAGCTCTGTTGGAACTCTTGGCTAGGTTAATGCTTAACCACAAGATCAGTAGTGCAACACTGTCAGCCACTTCACAGGAGAAAGAGGAGGCTGTCTGCTCCGTATAAATGGAAGACCTACACAAGGTCACGATGAATCAGCATTGACTCGATGGCAATGATTTGTGACAGCAACTGATAAGGAATACAAACACCCACCGAGGTGTCCATCTCTCTGTCCTTCTTGGGAACTCCATCTTCTATGGTCATTTCTGGAGGAGAGGGGACAAGCAGGCACAAATTACTCTGGGGTGGACCTTTGAGGGCCAATTTGCTTGAGATCTAACAATTAAAGGTTTCAAACCTCACCCTAACTGGGACATTCTGGAATGCGACCAAACCTTCCCCTCTCCCCATATTGCTCCCTGACGTTCACTGAATTCTTCTCCCTTTCTTCCAGGTTTGCCCTTCTCCTCACCCCCTTACCTGGTGTTCTCTTTAAGACCTCAACACCTGGGCTGAGTCTGAAGGGAAGGAACGAAGGAGCATTAGGGGCAGGCAGGAAGCGGAGGACTGATTAGGGGGTTAGGGCTCTCTCTCACAGTTCTCACCTCTCCTGTGGATTCTCATCCTTGCTCTTGGTGTGAGGGGTGCCTGAGGACGACCAATGGTCTGGATTCAAGAGGGAGGTCCTTTCCCAGCATCTCCCTGTCCAGGTCACCCACCCATCACCTCGAAACCTACCATGTTTCCTCTGACGCTGACAATGGAGGAGGAAGAGGAAGAGGAAGAGGAGACCCAGGACCACGGCCACCGAAATGCCAATGAGGACGTACAGCTGGTGTTTGGAAACAGGTGTGTCTAGAAAGATGGACCCAAGATATCGGCAACTGTCACAAATTGAGCACCTACTGCATACTGAGTAACTCATCGCTGTTGAGCATCTGGTACACACCACACATGGCTGGTGGTTTTCACGTCCATACTGATCCATCAGCACCACACCTCATGATCCTTCCACACAAGCGTTATTATCCTCTCATAAAAAAATAACCCCCCAATCTGAAGGGACGGTATCAGAGCTCCCACTGTGAACACCCGGTTGGCAGAAGGCCGTGGAGGACAACAGAAGCCTACAATTCAATTGCAGGGTCCCATGTGGATTAAACCTCCCATGAATCCCCACCGACTATCGTCCAGGGATGTTAATAGCCCTGCTAACAGACCAAGAGCATCATAAGGTCAACTGCGGTAGATGCAGTTTGGTTAAAATGTGACACCTTATCCTGTGATCTCCTTTTGGACCTGTTTTATGGTGCTTTCATTTTAAAAAACAGTTTAATTAGCACTTCATGCACATGTCATGCAAGTCAATGACTCAGTCACATCAAGAAGAGGTGCAAAGTGGTCCCCATACTCAATTCTAGAACATTTTTTTTCCCTTCCTTGGACTTCTGGTTATTCATGTATTTTTATTCTAATTGTGGCAAAAATATAGATAACAAAACATTCTCCAATTCCACAACCTCTAGTCGTCTAATTCAGTGCTAATGCTGATACCCTTCCCATTCCACAACCATTATTGATATCCTTCTCCAAATTTGTTTTCAGTTTTAATATGTTCTGCTTTCTATTTGATGGAGAGTTTTGTGTTTTGTGTAATCATTATTGTTGGTTTTTCTCCTCCCCCCCCCCACGAATAGCTTTATTGAGATATAATTCACATATTATTAACTTCCGTAATCCATTCGTATTACAAAGAGCTGTACACACATCAGCACAGTCAATCCCAGATATCGTACCCTTCCTGTATTCATTATTTGCTCCTCATTTCTCTCCACCACCACCACCCTTGTCTCCAGTAAGCCATGACATCGGTTATTATCTTTATACATCCTCCCATCTTGTGCTTCATACACTGTAAAACATACCCAAAACAAACAAAAGCCTAAAACACCAAATAGTTTTAAAGAGAAGGAAAATGCTGGGTTGTTGGTTTATCTGTTTGTTTGTGTGTGTGTGTGCTGTCTGCCTGTTTGTATGTTGAATGATATCCTGAGTATGAAATCCCGGATAGGTGGACCTATAGATAGTAAATGGACAGGGGCATTGCTGAGCAGGATGGTGACAAATGGAGAGCTATGAACAGTGAAAATGAGAAGCAAATGTTCTGAAATTGGTTGTGCTGATGATTGCACAGATCTTGTTCATAGGATTCAATGACTAAATTGGTTGCTCTGTGAGGCATCAGCCAATAAAACAATTTACAAAAAGAATTCTTATCCTTATTTTACGCTGATGTCTTGTATTCCCACCAGGCCATAACGAGTCACTGGGAGAGCAGGAATTGGTCTGCCTCCAAAGTTCAATGTCTTCCCGCTGCCTCACTAGTTCAGCCCAAGGTTCAGGAACTTCTAGTCTGAGTCAGAAGCTGGCCTCCCAGGGTCAAGGCTGCACCCTCCCCCACAGTTCTGTCCCCAATACTCACCGCTGTTGGACTCCTTGTGCTCACCAGGGGCTCCAGGGCCTGAGGAATCAGGAACATGGGGTTAGACAAACTCTGAGTCAGACAAAGAAGGCTTGGAGTCCCTCCCCCACGTCCCTCACCAGGGTCTCCCGAAGACCTTCTAGACCAGAGGGCTTTATGCAATGATGCAAGTGTTCTAGTTAAGCGCTGTGCAATCTGCTAGCCACATGGGGCTGCTCCCATTGATACCTAACATATATTCAATGGGACTGAAGTGCCAGGCCCTTGGCAGCTCCTCCTCAGATGCTCGGTAGCCCCCAGAGGTGGCCTCATCAGTCATCCGGGGCACAGACCGCTCCCTGCACAGGGACGTCCCATTGGGCAGGACTGCTCTCTCCTCTGTGTTGGGATCTTTGTAGAGACGACAACTAGGAACAGGGAGTGGTTCAGAACTATGCCTTGTTGGCCACCCACTGGGTTCCCGCTGGAGGGCAGGAATCCCCATCTCTATGTAGTTCAATGGCTTGGTATGCATGGGAAAGGGGGACGTTGGTTAAAGAAGACTTTAGAAGAATCAATGCATTTGAATTGTGGTGCTGGAGAAGACTATTGAAAGAACCGCAAACCACGAAAAGGGCAAAGACACGTGTCTTGGGACAAGTATGGCCAGGGTGCTCCTGAGAGGCAAGGATGGCAAGACTTCCTCTTACATCCTTTATTGTCAGAAGAGACCGGCCCCAGAAACAGACATCACTCTTGGTCAAGGGAAGGGACAGAGGAAAAGAGGAAGGTCCTCAGGAGATGGATGGACACACTGGCTGCAACAATGGGATCGGGCATAGCCACCATTGTGAGGAAGCCACCGGACTGACAGTGTTTCCTTCTGGTGTGGGTAGAGTTGCCATGGGTTGGAACCAGCTTGGTGGCACCGCCGCCGCCACCACCACCACCACCACCACCACCACCATCACCACCACCCCTGAAGAAAAAACACCTACTCCATGTGTTCTTCCCAGAAGCCATCGGATGGGGTGGAACCATTTTCCCTGGGAGTCAAATGAGAGCCCAGTGTGCTCCCGCTGCTGGGAATTCCCTGGCACAGAGCAGGTGGCTTCTGCACGGTGACCCAACCTCACTACCATGGAGCCAGTTCTCCCTCACCAAGAACAGAACCGCCCCTTTGGGTTTCCAAGACTGCGAGTGGTTGAGGAATTTGAAAGCCTCAACCTTGCCCCGAGAAGCAGCTCATAGACCGAAGGGGAAGGGACAGCTGGACAACCCAGAACACACATTTTGCAGTGTGGCCCAGGAAGGAAGAGTGGTGGATGGACAAAGAGAGATGCATTTGCAAGGGACCCCAGGACTTCTCATCTTTGTCACACTTTATAGATCCGGCCCCTAGTTTCAAACACCTTCCTCCACAGGTGACCTAATGCTGTTGACAGGCATAATGATTAGGAATGTTTATCATTCACAACACCTCCTCCAGGTTCTGATGGTCAGAGTTTGGAAGATGAGTTTTAAGTCACTGCATCAACTGCAGAGGGGGTGAAGAGTAAGACACTGATCATGAGAGGGCAATGGAGAGGAGTATTAAATCCTAAAGTCTCTCATCTGGCTGCCATGGCTGGACGGAGCCTCTGCCCGCTATGAGTCCTGTGACTGTGGGCAAGGACCTTCCACTTAGTGTTTGCACATTAAGATTCAAAGATGGGTTGTGACCACCCAGGGAAAGCACACTAGTCTTTGTGATCTAAGGACTGTCAACTATATAATCAAAGAATAAAAGAGGGAATGGTATCAGAGCTGAAATGTTAAACACCTGCTACTCCAAAGGCTGTGGATTGCAGTCACTCACTCAGTCACTGCCATCGAGTCAATACTGACTCACAGTGAAACTGTAGAACAAGGTTGAACTGGGTTTTCTGCTTTGTGTGGTCACTGTTGTTGGTTTTTCTTTTTACTTTTATTTTCCCCATTTCTTTCATTGGCCTATAACTCACATATCATACACTTCCATAATTCATTCATCGGACAAAGAGCAGTATATTCATCACCACAATCAGTTCCAGGACACCTTCCCTTTCCTGTGTTCACTGTTTGCTCCCCATTTCGCTGCAACCCCCCCCCCCCATGTCTCCAATAAGCCATGAGACCAGTTATTGTTTCTGCACACCTACCCATCTTGTGCATCATATCCTGGAAAACATATCTTCAAAAAACAAGAAAACAATTGTGCCCTTTTGGGGATTGCATGCTTGTTCCTGTTTGTACATTGTATGAATTCCTGTGTATGAAATCCAGGACAGGTCGATCTATAGGCAGTAACTGCATAGGGACTTGGCAGAGGAGGATGGGGGTGGAAATGGGGAGCTAACGATGGGTATGAGATGAAAAATGATCTGAAATTGACTTGGCGATGATTGTACAAATCTTCAGACGATTGACTTGGATGCTATGTGAGGTATGTGCCAATAGAACACACTTCTATTGAAAACAGAGTTACTATCCTCATTTATGCTGATGTCTTGTTTTCCCATCAGCCTCCAAAGAGTCACAGATTGAGCTGGAATTGGTCTCGCTCCAAAGCTCCTTGTCTCCCCAGTGCCTCATGCAGTTCAGCCCAAGGTTCAGGAACTTCTAGTCTGGGTTATGAGAGCTGCCTACCAAGGTCAGCGCTGAACACCCCGCACCTCCGTTCTCATCACTCACCTCTATTGAAATCCTTGTCGTGCTCACGAGGGGCTCCTGGGGCTGCGGAAACAGGAACATGGGGTTAGACAAAAACTGAGTCAGACAAAGATGGCTTTGTGTACCTCCCCCACATCCTTCGCCAGGGTCTTCCCAAGACCTTCTAGACCAGAGGGCTTTCTGTGATAATGCAAGTGTTCTAGACAAGCGCTGTGCAGTCTGCTAGCCACGTGGGGCTGCTCCCATTGAAATCCAACTAAAACTCCATGGAACTGAATTACCAGGTCCCCCACAGCTCTTGCTCAGATGCTCAGTAGGCCCCAGCATTGGCCGCATGGGTCACAAAGATGTAGACCTCTCCCTACACAGGAACATTCCATTGGTCAGGACTGCTCTCTGCTTTGTGCTTGGATCTTTGTGGAGACTGACAAATAGGAACAGGGAGCAGTTCAGACCCACTCCTTGCTGCCCACGTCCTGGACTCCCCTGAAGGACAGGAATTGCATCTCTATCTACTTCAATGGCTTCATATGAATGGGAAAATTGCTCATTGATGAAGGAAGACGTTGGAAGAGTTGACACATTGGTCTTGTGGTGCTGGAGAAGAATATTGGAAGTATTCATAGGACAAAGAGCACTATATTCATCACCCCTATCAGTACCAGAACATCCTCCTCCTCTTCCTGTGTTCGTTATTTGCTCCCCATTTCTCTCCAAGCCCCACCCCCATGTCTCCAATAAGCCATGACAATAGTTATTGTTTCTGGACATCTGCCCATCTGGTGCATCATATGCTGGAAAACAGATCTCCAAAGACCAAGCACACAATTGTTTTGGGGGGATTGCATGCTTGTTCCTGTTTGTACATTGTATGAATTCCTGAGTATGAAAGCCAGGACAGGTCGATCTATAGACAGCAAGTGCAAAGGGACTTGGCAGAGGAGGATGGGGGCGGGGGTGGGGGGGTGGGAATGGGGAACTAAAGTTGAGTGTGAGAAGAAAATGATCTGGAATTGTTTTGGGGACGATCCCACAAATCTTCATATGATTGGCTTGGATGCTATGTGAGGTATGTGCCAATAGGACACAATTTTATTAAAAACAGAGTTATTATCCTCATTTTATGCTGATTTCTTGTTTTCCCATCAGGACCCAAAGAGTCATGGATAGAGCTGGACTTGGTCTCACTCCAAGGCTCATTGTCTCCACAATGCCTCAAGAAGTCCAGCCCAAGGTTCAAAAACTTCTTCTACTCTGGGATAGGAGGGTGGCCTAATAGAGTCAGGGCTGAACTCTCCCAACACCTCTGTCCTCATCACTCACCTCTATTGAAATCCTTGTCATGCCTGCGAGGGGCTCCTGGGGCTGAGGAATCAGGAACATGGGGTTAGACAAAAACTGAGTCAGACAAAGAAGGCTTTGAGTACCTCTCCCACATCCTTCGCTGGGGTATCCCAAAGGCCTGCTAGACCAGAGGGCTTTATGCGATGATGGAAGTGTTCTAGATAAGCGCTGTGCAGTCTGCTAGCCACGTGGGGCTGCTCCCATTGAAATCCAACTAAAACTCCATGGAACTGAATTACCAGGTCCCCCGCAGCTCTTGCTCAGATGCTCGGTAGCCCCCAGCGGTGGCCACATTGGTCACAAAGATACAGACTGCTCCATGCACAGGGATGTTTTATTTGGTCAGGACTTCTCTCTGCTTTGTGCTTGGATCTTTGTGGAGACTGACAAATAGGAACAGGGAGCGGTTCAGACCCACTCCTTGCTGCCCACCTCCTGGACTCCCCTGAAGGACAGGGATTGCCATCTCTGTCTACTTCAATGGCTTCGTATGAATGGGAAAGTTGCTCATTGATGAAGGAAGACGTTGGAAGAGTTGACACATTGGTCTTGTGGTGCTGGAGGAGAATATTGGAAGCATTCATAGGACGAAGAGCACTGTGTTCATCACCCCTGTCAGTGCCAGAACATCCTCCTCCTCTTCCTGTGTTCATTATTTGCTCCCCATTTCTCTCCAAGCCCCACCCCCATGTCTCCAATAAGCCATGACAATATTTATTGTTTCTGGACATCTGCCCATCTGGTACATCATATGCTGGAAAACAGATCTCCAAAGACCAAGCACACAATTGTTTTGGGGGGATTGCATGCTTGTTCCTGTTTGTACATTGTATGAGTTCCTGAGTATGAAAGCCAGGACAGGTCGATCTATAGACAGCAACTGCAAAGGGACTTGGCAGAGGAGGATGGGGTGGGGAATGGGGAACTAACAATGAGTATGAGAAGAAAATGATCTGAAATTGATTTGGTGATGATCCCACCAATCTTCATACAATTGCCTTGAATGCAACGTGAGGTATGTGCCAATAGAACCCAATTTTATTTTAAAAAGAGCTATTATCCTCATTTTATGCTGATTTTTACTTTCCCTTCACCCCCTAACCAGTCACTGAGAGAGCTGGCATTGGTCGGACTCCAAAACTCATTGTCTTCCCTCTGCCTTAAGAAGTCAGCCCCATCCACAGAGGAATGGATTAAAAAACTCTGGTACATACATACAACGGAGTACTATGCATCACTAAAAAGCAGCGATGAACGCATGAAGCATATCGCTGCATGGGAAGAACTGGAGGAAATAATGCTAAGTGAAGAAAGCCAAGCACAAAAGGACAAGTATAACATGAGTCCACTGAGGTAAGTTTATATATATAAACATACAAATATATAAAAGAAAGAACAGAGAGGTAAATGCAAAAGGGGCACAGGGAAAAAGCTACTGTATACAAACTCTCTAGGGGTAAGGTCCAGGTAGTATGGCAGGTGCCACACCAAATCCAGGGGTACATAGGGTAGCCAACCCCAAAGGGGGGGGCAGGAACAGGGAAAGGGGAAAAAAGGGGGGATATGTGATGGGGGAATAGGGCACTGATCCCCCAAGGGAAGGGGAAGGGTATTGTTTGTGTCTCCACAGGGAAAGAGGGACCAGATTTAAAGCCAGTGCCAGACGAATGCAGCTTGTTGGCAAGGAGTGGGGAGCCAGTGGAGGGGCCTGAGGGCTCGGTCCCCATGCCAGCTATGTGGACAACAGCCCCTCCCCACAGAAGAAGCTACTTGAGAGGACG